CTTTCTGGGGGCCAATTATGACAGACCTCCCCAGTCTCTCTCCATCTCTGCAGCCCTGACATTTACACACATTTCCTGGAGATCCTCACCCCCAGCATGACCTATCCATGCCCCAAGTACACACCTGCCTCATAGGCAGGGCCTTGGCCCCTCTTGTCTGTGAAAGCCTCACTCAGGATAGTTGGAGAGGCGTGGGGATTGGGGGCAGCCAGGAGACCAGAGGACTGGGGCGAACAGAGGAACCACCCTGCTCATCTCAGACCCCAGAGACCCCACAGCATTCCTCAATGAAGGGACATGGGGAGGGTTGGAGGGCAAAAGTGCCCCCCTCAAGCCCTGCTGTGCCCTCTAGACTGGACGTGTGGACAAGAATGTGCCTATGGTCTGTGGCCACACTGCGCCTGTACTGGACATTGCCTGGTGCCCACACAATGACAATGTCATCGCTAGTGGCTCTGAGGACTGCACAGTCATGGTGAGTCCTGGTGGGGACCCAGGAGCTGGGCTCCAGGAGGGAATCTGACACTTGAGACCAAGACCTCCAGCCTTGAGGACAAAGGCTTATCCCTAAAGATTCATGAGTCCCTTCCCTGCAGGTGTGGGAGATCCCTGATGGGGGCCTGATGCTGCCCTTGCGGGAGCCCGTCGTCACCCTGGAGGGCCACACCAAGCGTGTAGGCATTGTGGCCTGGCACCCCACAGCCCAGAATGTGCTGCTCAGCGCAGGTGCCGTGTGGGACTGTTGGGATGGGGTTGGTGCCCTGGCTCACGTAAGGGTGGGAGGCATGTTGGCGCTGACTCAGGGGGGATTACCCAGGCTGTGACAACGTGATTCTGGTGTGGGACGTGGGCACTGGGGAGGCCATGCTGACGTTGGGCCCGGACGTGCACCCGGACACAATCTACAGCGTGGACTGGAGTCGGGATGGCGCACTCATCTGCACTTCTTGTCGTGACAAGCGCGTGCGCATCATCGAGCCACGCAAAGGCACAGTGGTAGCTGTAAGTGGCCTTGAACTTGATTTTACTCTGGGCCTTTACTCTCCTACCCACTATCAACCACACCACCTTACCTTGCTCCCATCTGGGGTCTGGCCCCTTCTGGTGAGGTGTGCCTGACCACTACTACTGCCCTTTTCCTGCCAGGAGAAGGACCGTCCCCACGAGGGGACCCGGCCTGTGCATGCCGTGTTTGTGTCAGAAGGAAAGATCCTGACCACAGGCTTCAGCCGAATGAGTGAGCGGCAGGTGGCGCTGTGGGACACAGTGAGTGCCCAGACTGGAAGGAGAGGGCGCGGGAGCTTGAGCCCAGGGCTGTGGGTCAAGATGCTTTGCCACCTGCCTGGCCACAGTTGACTTCCAAGGAGATGGGGGTCCCCAATAGTTGGCTTTTGGGGCCCTCTCCAGGCTGATGGTGACCAAGCCCAGCTCACTGTCACTGTCTCCACAGAAGCACCTGGAGGAGCCATTGTCCCTGCAGGAGCTGGACACGAGCAGTGGAGTCCTGCTGCCCTTTTTCGACCCTGACACCAACATTGTCTATCTCTGTGGCAAGGTGGCCCTGTCAGGCAGGGAGTGGAGGGTGGGCAGGAAGGGCTGGGAAAGGCAGTGTCTTTTGGTTTTGATCCTCTCTCTGAACTCCCATCTGCAGGGTGACAGCTCTATCCGGTACTTTGAAATTACTTCTGAGGCCCCGTTCCTGCACTTTCTCTCCATGTTCAGCTCCAAGGAGTCCCAGCGTGGCATGGGTTACATGCCCAAACGTGGCCTGGAGGTGAACAAGTGCGAGATCGCCAGGTGACTAATGCCTGATCCCAACCTGAGTGTGCTCTGGGAAGTACTGACCTTCAGTCCCAGCTCCCGTATGCTGTGGGCTCTGCTCACCTTCCTCTTCCCACAGGTTCTACAAGCTGCACGAGAGGAGGTGTGAGCCCATTGCCATGACTGTGCCTAGAAAGGTGATGCTCCCTTGTCCCTTCTGGGGTCCCGATCTCGTGAAGCTGCAGGGTGGCGTTTGGGGGCTAAGCCCACTCTTAACCAGCCTTGGCCTCGCCCACAGTCGGACCTGTTCCAGGAGGATCTGTACCCGCCCACTGCAGGGCCTGACCCTGCACTCACAGCTGAGGAGTGGTTTGGAGGTCGGGATGCTGGGCCCCTCCTCATCTCCCTCAAGGATGGCTATGTACCCCCAAAGAGCCGGGAGCTGAGGGTCAACCGGGGCCTGGACACTGGGCGCAGGAAGGCAACACCAGAGGCCAGCGGCACCCCTAGCTCGGTGAGAGGCAAATGGGGAAGTCTCCTAGTAGAGGGAGACTGGCATTCGGGGCAGCCCAAACTCACAATGTTGGGGATCCTTTGGGAGCTAGGGGTGAGTAATCCTGAGACCTCAGAAAGCAGGTTCAGGCTGACAGCCCTGCAGCCACTAGTTCTTGGAGTGGCTCAGCAGATGCCAGGGAGGAACTGGGCCTGATGCAGCCCTGGGTCCCTCAGGATACGGTGTCCCGGCTGGAGGAGGAGATGAGGAAGCTCCAGGCCACAGTGCAGGAACTACAGAAGCGCTTGGAAAGACTGGAGGAGACAGTCCAGGCCAAGTAGAGAACCCCAGGGCCTTCAGCAGGACCAAGGCCATCACCGCCCTCCCTTCCATTCACACCTCCACTTTCAGGCCACTGCGCAGATAAGAACAACAGAATAAAATGGCTTTATTTTCTGGTACCTCCCAGACTCCAATGATTGGTTACCTGGGTGCAAGCAAGGCTGCTGACATGCACTGCCCATGAGCTTACCCCTCAGTTATCCCAACTGGACTCCTGCCTGTTCACAGGTCAAGGGTTTTGATGGGTGGGAACCACCAGGCTGACGTGTGTCTGTAGTCTGTCCTCTGTCCCCCAGCTTCTCAGAGTTGGGAGTCTGAGCTACATTTTCTTCCCCTAGTCAACCAAACATCAGGCTGCTCTAACTGTACTAATACTGGTGGTTGTGAGATGAATCAAGTAGCACTTATCTGGAGACATATATTTCCAACCACAGGCTCATGGGTTAAAAACAGATCAGGGGACCTTTTAGGGGGAGGAAGCTTAGAACCAAAGCAACAGCCTTCGTTTGTAGGAAGGAAACAAGCACAGAGCAGAAGAGGGACTTGCTGAAAGGCAAATGTAGAGGTGTGACCTTGTTCCGAGCCTTCTTCAACAAGAGCTGCTGCCTTGGAAGCCCTTATTATGAGGTCGGCTGGTGCTCGGCATCTGTTGGAGGACCAGGGGAACCAGACCCGTTCACCCTATAAAGAGGGTGTTTGGGGTAGGTTTCTGATGCCCAAGTCTTAGTGCATGACCCCGATCTGATAGGGCCCGGGCTGTTACTGCGGATGCCCTGGATGTAGCGGGGCTTGGTGCATACCATGCAGGTACCACAGGCCTGTTCCCAATTCACCGCCTTTCAGCATACCACTGAAAACTTCCTGGGCCACACACAGGTAGACCACTGAATGAGGCAGATGTACTGTCTGCCTATTTGGGTCTTATTTTCTCTGTAAGCTGTTAAGACTTTGAACAAGTCACTAATCTCCAGGCCTAAACTGCCCACGTATAAAATGGAAGGGATACCACTGCAGCTCTGTGAATGCAGTTGTTAAGTGCCATTGAGGCAATTCCAACCCATAGCGACCCTGTATAGTTTCCAAGGAGCAGCTGGTAAGCTTAAACCACCGACCTTGTAGTTCAAACGACTTTGCAGTCTGGCGCATTAGCCCATAACACCACACCAGTGGGTGGATGTAAATACTCTAAGCAGGGGTCTGATAAGAGTCCGAAAAGCTGAGGTGTAGTGGCATGCTGACACACCAGCCACTCCCCAGAAACCCTATATGGGGCTGCTGTGAGTTGGAAGTGAGTCTGTGGTGCTCAACAACTGGCCTCTTAAAGAGGTGAACTGATGTTCCTTCTTTCCTGCCAATGGTTAGGATAGGTCCTTGTGGGACACCAGTAATGCAGTCTCCTCTTGGCCTAGAACTAAAGAAATTTCAGGAAATGACCCAGAAGGGTTAACCCATCATCACCATGACCCCCAGCTGTAGCAGCCTATTCTCCCTCTAACAGGAAGATGAGAGGGAGACAGGTTAATTTAGGACCTGAGAAACTGGCCTGGAATAGGATGGCTGAGGCCTACAATTCCTCACTCTCAAAGACTCTCGTCCCCAACAGAATCGCCTGCTGTCCCTCCTAAGACTCCAACCTTGGAATCTATGGTTAAGATTGATATCTGGGATCTTGCTGACCCAATTTAATCTTCTCCCCATGCTCTCCCACATTCTGGGGGCAGCGGTGGCCATGTCAGAGTTATAGGGTCAGTGGGTTTCTTCCAGTGAACCAGAAAACACCAGATTCCAGGTACTGGGGAACCCCTACTGGGGTACTGTATTTCCTGAGGCCTGTCTCCTGGGGGAACCTGCAGGAACCAAGGAATTCACTAGCAAGCCCCTTATGCTAGTTTATGGGGCTTTGTTAAATTTGAATTGGCCCCAGGTCTGAAACTGCGCACATTCTCATCTCATATACGCGTTTTGAGGGCCAGCAATGAGCAGGAAAACTCATCAATGAAGGAGCAAGTGAGGACACCACTGTGCTTTGGGGATCCACTGGTAATTAAAGAAAAGAGGCCTGCAAGACCAGCCCTGGGAAGGATTTGTAAGAAGAGAAACTTCATTTTGTAAGAGAAGACGACCAAGTTGGGGAAAGAATTTGCCCAAGGCGAAACAGTTACTGTTAAGTATCTTCGAGTGGGTTCCCGCCCACAGTTACCCTGTATAGGGTTTCCAAGGAGCGGCTGGTGAGCTTGAACCACCAGACCTTGCAGTTCAAACGACTTTGCAGTCTGACACATTAACCCACAGTGGAGAACGGGAAACTGGGTCCAGACTGCAAGCACCCCTCCTCCCACCAACACACACTGACACAGAAGCTGGTCCTGATTCATGGTTTAATGGCTGTGCAGGTCCCAGCTCCTCATTTTTGCTTTTGAAGGGTCCACTGCTCTGGGGTCAGGGTCTTCTGCTCAAAAGCATGGATGTGCGGGAGCTCTTGTGCTAAGCACGCGTTGACCAGCCTGGGGCGAAAGATGGGGTTCGGTCTCAGCAGACCCGGGCCTGGGTCTTAGTACAGAGCTAGGACCACCCAGGAGACTGAAAGTACCCCCGAGAATACACGGGGGGTGAGACCGAGGTGGCAATCCTTGAAGCAGGGGCCACAACGGAGGCCGGAGCTGGGGCCGCTTTGGCAGGGATAGGGCGAGTCGGGTGGAGGGAGAGACCGGGGTTGTGGTCCTGGGGCAGGCCCCGCGCTGGGCGAGGTTTTCCCCGTGCCTCACCGGTGTCTCTGGAGCAGCGGCTTCCCTTCGAACTTGGAGGACACCACCAGGACGCGGAAGCTGGACGCGCAACGGTTGCTTGTCGTATCCTCCACTTCCTGCGGGGCAGAAGAGTGGGGATGGTGCCGCGTATGCCCCCCAGTCCTTTTCCCTGGCGGGGCCAGGACGTTCAACTCACCACGTGCTCCGCTTCCAGCTCTCGCTGCAGCTTCTCCCGGAGGGAATTGGCGCTGAATTCCATTGCAGCAGCCCAAAGTGGGCGGCAGCCCAGAGGGGACCGCAGCCCAGGCCGGATCCCGGCCACACTTCCGCCCTTATTGACGCAACTTCCGTCAACTCATCGACTTCCGCTCTTAATGATGCGTCTGTAAACTAAGCACTTCCGCCCTCACGCCAGCCCAGTTTCTCAACAGTTATGGATTTCTGCGTTTATCATCAACCAGCCTATCCGAACCTGAGTGAGGACGGACTCGGCTGAAGAGAACGCTAATTGGAGCACGCCACCTCTCGGCTGCTTGGATCGTGTGGCCCGGTTTGGACATCTCTGACAAGGAGAGGGTGCATGAACATGAATTGCTGTGGGCTCTTGGATGCCTCAGGATCGTCCCTAAACACGTTTTCAGAGACGATCATCTTGCAGTTTTAGCAACCCGGGCCTTCACACGGTCAAAGGTCACAGCACTCGCCCTCCAGCGGCAGCCCCCGACCCAGCGTTCCCGAATGAGCCCCGCGGAAGGCACGGCGAAGCCAGGACGTTTCTTTGGTGTCTACCTGCTCTACTGCCTAAACCCTCGGCACCAAGGCCGCGTCTACGTGGGGTTCACTGTAAACCCTGGGCGTCGGGTTCAGCAGCACAATGGGGGCCGCAAAAAAGGCGGGGCCTGGAGGACTAGCGGCCGGGGGCCCTGGTGAGAGAGGGCGGGTCCTGTAGTTTAGGAGCGGGTTTGATGGGAGTGGGTGGGGCCCTATCGACAGGCTGGGGTCTAGTGATGGGCGCGGGGACTTCAGCAGGGGAGGAGCCTCTGGCGAGGAGGCGGAGCCCTATGAAAAGTTGTGAACATCTAAGGGACTGGCTTCAGAAGGGCCTTGGGGTCAGGCGACAGGGTGCTTGGTGAATAAGTTTGGGGTGGGAATTGAGTCTGAGAGCAAGTACTGAGGAAAGCAGTTAAGTACACATACCGGAGAGGGGCCTGAGGGTGGCATATGCGAAGGCACAGCCCTTCCACGAAGCCCCCATGAAGCCTCCGCAATGCGAGTGGAGGATTCACAGGCTTTGTCCGCGTTCTCCTCCCCAGGGAGATGGTGCTCATCGTGCACGGCTTTGCATCCGCAGTGGCCGCTCTTCGGGTAAGAGAGAGCCGGAGCGGCGGGCGGGCTTGGGCGGGCAGGTGCGCCTAACCATAACACACTGGTGCCCTCCCGCCGCAGTTCGAGTGGGCCTGGCAGCATCCGCACGCCTCACGCCGCCTGCTGCATGTGGAGCGGCGCGCACGCAGCGAGGCAGCCTTCGCCTTCCACCTGCGCGTGCTGGCGCACATGCTGCGCGCGCCGCCCTGGGCGCGCCTCCCACTCACGCTACGCTGGCTGCGCCCGGATTTCCAGCGGGACCTCTCCCCATCGCCACCACCACACGTGCCGCTGGCCTTCGGGCCGCCACCACCACCCTGCCGGAGGCGTGGAGCCCTGCCCAGTGGAGATGCCGAGACGGCCTCAGGTGCCAGGGCCCTGTGTGCCCTCTGCGCCTGCGCGCTCCAGGTGAGAGCCAATCAGGCGTAGGCTTAAGCCTTTTTTTCGGTTTCCGCTGTTCGATGAGCGTCAGCCACTCACTGACTGTGACTTGGAGATAGTGCTTCCGTTCCTCCACACACCAGTCCCTTGGCTTGGGACCTGTGTCCTTACCCTGTGCCTGGACGGGTCTTTCCTAGATCTTGGGCTGTCTGATCAGATGCTGCCTCAGTGAGGTGTTCCCAAGCTTTTATTCTAAAATTGCAGCCGCCTTAGGAACTGTTTTGTGTAAGTAAAATTCACATAAAATTAGATGAACTATTTTATTAAAGTATATATAATACAGCATTATATTTACTACATTCTTCATGCTGTGTAGCGTTCATCTCTGTGTGGTTCTGAGACACTTTCATCACCCCCAAAAAGACAAACCAGGCACCCACTGGCTAATTTCTCTCATCCCCTGACTCCACCAGCTCCTTTCTGCCTCTATGAATTGACCTATTCTGAGTGTTTCATGTAAGTGAAACTATATAGTACATAGTCCATTGTGCCTGATTTCTATCACTTTGCACAACGATTTGAAGTTTATCCATGTTGGTCGGTACTTCGTTCCTTTTTAGGGCAGAATAGTACTCCATTCTATAGATATGTCACTTCCCAGTCATTCATTTATGGATTCCCTGTTTTACCTTAATGTCATTCTACATATCAGGTGTAATGCTGTCCGATCAGCACAGGACTGTGAACTGCAAGGTTGGCAGTTCAAAGCTACTCGTTGCTCCTCAGAAACCCTATACAGAGTCGCTGATCGGAACTGACTCAACGGCACTTAACAACATACTATGTGTTTTCCTCATTTTTCTGATTATCAGTCTCCCACCCATCACACTAAATTCCAGGAGAACAATTCTTGCTCTCCTGGAAAAGTGTTGATACACAGAGCAGGTGGTTAATAGAAACTTAGTAAACACATCAACTGAGACAAAGGGCCTGGCTTCTACTAAGCTCTCAGTAAATGGAAATAAGTTGTATTTGCCATTCATAGGAAGGTGACCTGCTTGCAACGGTCCGGCTCTTAGAGAATCACTGCTAAAAACATTCAAAGGAAGTTGGCTAGTCACTAGGTGTGTAGTTTAACCTTTGTACCTCAGTTTCCTCATCTCTATAATGCAGATAATAGTAGGACCTGTGTCATAGGGTGGTTTTATAGGAAGCACTTGGAACCACGTCTGGTTCCTAGAAATCACTCATGTGTCTCAGTTCCATCATTACTCTGTCTTTTCTCTCACCTGCCTTCTTGTATGACAGGATGAAGAAGGCTCCCTGTGTTGCCCCCATCCTGGCTGCCCTCTAAGGGCCCACATGATTTGCCTGGCAGAAGAGTTCCTTGGAAAGGAACCAGGGCAACTTCTGCCCCTGGAAGGCCAATGTCCTGGGTAAGCCCAATACCTCTATCCTATCCCAGTCCAGTCTAGCCGTAGCAAGATGGTGCCCAGCTTCACTAGACCAGGGCCAGGCCAGCTGAGCCTGTCTTGGCATCTGGAGCCTGGTCTGGAAGAGGCTTGTGATTCCTGACTTTGCATTTCTTTGGTAGCTGTAAGAGCTCACTACTGTGGGGAGACCTGATCTGGCTGTGTGGGACAGGAACCGAGGAGGGGGAAGAGGAAGACTCAGAAGAGGTGAGAGGTGGTTCTGTTCCCAGCCACCCTTTCCCACCCAGTCCTATGAGTTACCTCTGATCAGCTCTTGTTTCCACAGGAACATTGGACGGACATGCTGGCGAACTGATCCCAGCATCCCCAAACCCCTATTTATTTTCTGTGTCTGTGTTTTAATTGTATACAATAAAAGGTCTCAGTTAAGGGTACCTTCTGTTTTTTACCAAAGGGTTGGAGAGAGAAGGCAGAAGCTCTGTTAACCAAGTATCACTGGGGCTAGGTGGGGAGGGGCTGTAGGCCAACATGTGACCAGCCTCTCCTTTGTCCTAAGCCCCAGGGCTTCAGTTTTCCCTAGTGGGACTCTGAGGCCACATCATTCTTTGAGGGCTTGTATAAAAATGTGGTGGAAGAGGCATCTCACCTTTAACTTCACAAGGGGGTTAGAGAGTCCAGAATAACAGCCCAAGGCTGAGTCCTCGCTCCAATTATTTTTACTAATTCCGACACCATCTTCCCCTCCCACAGCACTCACAGACCATACTTAAGATTATGGGCTTTATTAGGGAAGTTACAATTCAAGATCAGAAAGGATTTGGATCAGGACAGTCTTTTATCCCACACCCACAAAGGCCTTTCTGGCATTTGGTTTGGCCTTTACTCTGCTTGGGCCAGTGTTGCAAAGCTCTTTGGCTTTGAACCTGAAGTCACTCACCTTTCTTGCTCTGTGGGCTGGGAAGCCTGTTGCACCATCTGCTTCTGCTGCCTCTGCTACTTCTTGCTGTCTCCAGTGTCAGAACTGTCTTCTGGGTCTAGGAGGTTCCTAGCATAGGACCCTGGATCCAAATGATACACTCTACTGCTCTCTTCTTGATGATAATGGTCCCCCCAGCCCCTGTACATCTCTAGGAAAACTCACTTTAAGTCTAGCAGTATGGCAAAACTGACCAATCCCATGTTATGGTTCCATATACCTTTTTTCATGATCCTAACTCCACAGGAGTGCCATGAATCTGCACTATTAGCAAGCTATCCAATCCCCATCAGTCCCACTTAATAATTTGGTGGGAGCTATATAGAGTCTTGAAGAGCAGAGATGTCAGCTTGAGGACTAGGGTGCGCCTGACCCAGGCCATTGTGTTTTCAATAGCCTCATATGGATGCGAAAGCTGGACAGTGAATAAGGAGGATCGTAGAAGAATTGATGCCTTTGAGTTGTGGTGTTGGAGGAGAATACTGAAAGTGCCATGGACTGCCAAAAGAACCAATAGATCTGTTTTGGAAGAAGTGCAGCCAGAGTGCTCCTTGGAGGCCAGGATGGCTAAGCTTCGTCTCTCCTACTTTGGACATATTGTCCGGAGGAAACAATTGCTGGAGAAGGATGTCATGCTGGGTAGGGTGGAGGGTCAGAGAAAAAGAGGAAGACCCCCAATGAGATGGATCAGCCAGGTGGCATCATTGATGGACTCAAGTGTGGTAGCGGTAGTGAGGTTGGCCCAGGATCGAGCATTGTTTCGTTCTGCTGTGCATGGGGTCGCTATGAGTCGGTTCCGACTTGATGGCACCTGACAACAACAACAACAACAACATATAGAGTCTGGATCCCGTGTCAGTTTGAACTGCAAGGTCGGTGGTTCAAACTCAACAACCACTCCTTGGAAACCCTATACAGCATCACTGAGTGGGAAGGGACTCGACAGCACTAACAACAAAAGAGTACTGGGGTGGCGTAGGCAAAAGTGCTGGACAGCTACTCCTCAAAATCCTACACAGGGTCACTATGAGTTGGAACTGTCTCAATGGCACTTAACAACAACATAGAGTCCTGGTGTGGCACTGTAGGACCAGCACTGGACCGCTAACTAAAAACTTAGCAGTTCAAACCCACCCACTGCTCCCTGGAAACAATATACAGGGTCACTGAGTCAGAACTGACTTGACACTTAACAACACAAAGCCTATGGGTCCATTCCAACTCAGTAACCTTATGTACAATAGATTGAAACGCTATTTGGTCCTGTACCATTTTCACAATCATTGTATGGTTGAGCTCATTGTAATACCCATGGTGTCAGTCCATCTTGTTGACGAGCTCTATTTTGCTTTCTACTTTACCAGCACGATGTCCTCCAGGTACTGCTCCCTCCTGATAACATACTCAAAGTACATGAGATGAAGTCTCGCCATACTCCCTTGTACTAGGAAGTATTCTGGCTATACTTCTTGCAACACAGACTTGTTCATTCTTCTGGCAGTCTATGGTATATTTACTATTCTTTGCCAACATCATAATGAAAATGGTACCAGTTCTTTTTTGGGTCTTCCTTATTCACTGCTCAGCTTTTGCATACATGTGAGGCAGAATACCATGGTCTAGATCAGGCACACCTTAGTCTTCATAGTGACATCTTTGTTTTTTAAAACTTTAACGAGATCTTTTGCAGCAGATTTTCAATAAATAGCATTGTTTGACTTCTTGACTGCTGTCTTTGTGGGTGTTGACTATGGATCCAAGTAAAATTAAATCCTTAAAAACATTATTCCCTCCATTTATGTTGCTTATTGATCCCAGTTGTGAGAACTTTTAATATGTTGAGGTGTAATATATATTGAAAGCTGTAGTCTTTGATCTTCATCAGTAAGTGCTGCAAGTCTTTTTCACTTTCTGCCAGCAAGATTGTGTCATCTGCACATTATAGGTTTTCTTCCTTCAATCCTGACGCAGTGTTCTTCATGTAGACCAGCTTCTGGGATGATTTATCAGCATACAGAATGAATGAATATGGTGGAAAGATATAACTCTGATTTTAAACAATACAGCATCCAATGTTGTTAACACCAACTGCTTCTTTGTCTACATACAGAGCACCTGAGCACAATCAAGCATTCTGGAATTCCTATTCTTTACAGTGCTATCCATAATTTGGTATGATCCATACAGTCGGATGCCTTTGCATAGTCAATAAATCACAGGTAACCATACTTACTCAACCAGTATGCAGAGCAAATAATCCGAGTAGCTTGGTTATATGAAGAAAAATGTGGCATTAGGATTGGAGGTTGTCATTAACAACCTGTAATACACAGGTGATACAACCTTGCTTGCTGAAAGTGAAGAGGACTTAAAACATTTACTGATGAAGATCAAAGAGCACAGCCTTCACTATGGATTACATCTCAATGTAAAGAAAACAAAAATCCTCACCACTGGACCAATAAACAACATTCTTATCAATGGAGAAAAGATTGAAGTTGTCAAGGACTTCATTCTTCTTGGATCAACTATCAACACTCACGGAAGCAGCAGTCAAGAAATCAAACAACATATTGCATTAGGCAAATCTGCTGCACAGGAACTTTTTAAAGTGTTGAAGAACAAAGATGTCAGCTTAAGGGCTAAGATCCGCCTGACCCAAGCCATGGTATTTTCAATAAACTCATGTGCATGCAAAAGCTGGACAGTGAATAAGGAAGACCGTAGAAGAATTGATGCATTTGAGTTATGGTGTTAGAGGAGAATACTGAAAGTGCCATAGGCTGCCAAAAGAACCAATAGATCTGTTTTGGAAGAAGTACAGCCAGAGTGCTCCTTGGAGGCCAAGATGACCAAACTTCGTCTCTCATCCTTCAGACATATTGTCAGGAATGGACCAGTCGCTGGAGAAGGATGTCATGTTTGGTAAGGTGGAGGGTCAGAGAAGAAGAGGAAGACCCCCCAATGAGATGGATTGGCCAACTGGCAGCATCGATAGACTTAAGCGTGGCAACAGTAGTGAGGTTGGCCCAGGATCGGGCAGTGTTTCGTTCTGCTGTGCATAGGGTCGCTATGGGTCGGTACCAACTCGATGGCACTTAACAACAACAAGCATCTTTCTGATATTCTCTGCTTTCAGCCAAGACTCTGATTATCAGCATCTAACACGAATTTCTGGCAGTTCCCTGTCAATGTATTCCAGCAACCACTATCTTAAGTAAAATTTTACTTGTGTGTGATATTGTTTCATTTGATAATTTCCACATTCTGTTGAATTGTCTTTCTTTGGAACAGACACAGATATGGATGTCTTCCAGTCAGTTGGCCTGGTAGCTGTCTACTAAATTTCTTGGCACAGATGAGTGAGTGCCTCCAGCACTGTGTCTGTTTAGTCAAACATTTCAATTAATATCTTGTCAGTTTTTGAAGCCTTGTTTTTTGTCAATGCCTACAGTACATCTTGGACTTCTTCAGTACCATGAGTTCTTGATCATATACAATCTCCTTAAATGGTCACACATCAACCAATTCTTATTGGTATAGTAAGTCTTTTATATTTGTTCTATCTTCTTTTAATGCTTCCTGCATTGTTCAATGTTTTGCCCATAGAATCCTTCAATATTGCAACTTGAGGCTTGAATTTTCTTCAGTTCTTTCAGCTTGGGAAATGCCAAGTGTGTTCTTCCTTTTGGTTTTCTAACTCACATCTTTGCATATTTCATTATAATACTCTTCTTGAGTTGCCCTTTGTAATCTTCTCTTCAGCCATTTACTTCATCATTTCTTCCTTTTACTTAAGCTAAGAGCAAGCTTCAGAATCTTGGCACCCATTGTGATCTTTCTTGTTTTCTTACCTTTTGTTTTCTTCACATACGATGTCCTTGGGAAGTCACACAATTTATCTGGTCTTTGGTCATTAGTGTTCAGCGCCTCGGCTCTATTCTTGAGGTGGTTTCTGAATTTAAGTGGGATATACTCAAGGTTATATTTTGGATTTTGTGGAGTTGCTTTAATTTTCTTCAGCTTCAATCTGATCTTGCATATGAGCAATCGATGGTCTGTTTTGCAGTTGACCCCTTGTCTTGTTCTGATTAATGATCCTATACTCCTCTATCATCTCTTTGCACAGATATAGTCATGTTGCTACCTTTGTATTCCGTCCAGTGATGTCCACATGAATGTTGTTACTGATTGGTGCCATCAAGTCTGACTCAGCGACCTATGTATATGAATAAAACCAAAATCCAAACCCACTACCATAAAGTTGATTCCAACTCATGGTGCTCCTGTGTAAGGGTCCTGAGCTGTGAATCTTTACAGGTGCAGAAAGTCGCCTCTTTTTACTATGGAACAACTGGTGGAAATGCAATATCTGGCAT